GTGGGGGGTGGAGGTGCATGCCAGCAGCGCCAAGCGGGCCGCCCATAGTGCGGTGCGGCCGCCGTGCCCCGTGGCTGGCGAGGGAAAGGAAGACACCCCACCCGCCTGCCAGCCAGCCTGCCTGCCAGTCGGCCCGCCTTGTACAGTTTGGTGCGAGAGCATAAGCGCCCTGCGGTATACTACATATTTGACCCCGGTGACCTCCCCCCGTAAGCTGCTGCGGTCGCCTCGCGCACACTACTCTGATTGGCGATACTGTGCTGCTGATACTCACCTGGGTGGTGTCAGTGGGGCACAGGGCAGGGCGGCCCGGGCGGCGCCGGGGACCCCATTGTTGTTGGTCGCGCGGGTTCAGATCAGACAGAGGGTGGCCCCGTTAGCGGTGCGCATTCATTCATACGCGCCTAGTGTCACACTCACTCACTCACACACTCACTCACTCACTCACTCACGCTCACTCACACTCACGCTCAGCGCGTGCGCGCCCCGTGGTATCGCTGGCTGAACGGAGCATGAGAGGATCGGTCGCGGGTTTAGTCACGGGGCCCGTCGTTGTTGGGGCTCTTTGCGGCCTTTTTCTTCCAGGAGGCGGTGTATTCGGACACGCGAATCGTGTCGAGTCTGTAGCCGGCGGGCCGTTGGTTGCCGCCGCTCGCTGCTGCGCTGCCGGACCAGTTCGAACCCCCTCTGCAATACCCTCTCTCTCACTCTCCTCCTCCTTCTCCCGTCTCTCAACCTGTTTGGAGCCGTTGCTGCTGCTGCTGGTTCTGGTGGGACAGAGAATTTTGGCGCACGGCATCGTCCTGGCGAAGCAGCAAAGCATGTGTCGCCGCCGCGGTGGTGTCGGCGGGACATCGGGCGAGCCGCGTGGAATGCGCGCACGCCTCCGGGAGGAAGCCGCGGGAGAGCGGGGAGGATAGCGTCGTGGAGGAGAGTCCTCCTGAACGGTGTATGCATCTTCGACCTGCTCACGAGTGCTTTGGTGGAGGGATCATACCCGCCAGGATGACACCCACGAGGACGAGGCCCTGTCACTCTAGCCCCGTGGAAAACTGGACTTAAAAAAAAATCAGTGTACACCCTCCAAAAAAAAAAGAAAATCGGAAAAATCAAGGAAATGTCAATTTAAAAGTAAGAAAAAAATCTGTGAAATTAAGGAAAAATTGGTGTATGCTTGAATTGATAGTGAAGCCCCCCTCGCTAGAGCCCTCGACGCCGAGGCTCGCGGCCAAGGGCCGAGCCCAGCCGGTCGGGAGGGTTCGGTTAATTGGGGCTACTAGCCGTGACAGGTGCTCGCCGGCACTGGAGCCGCTGGAGCCGCGCAGGAGCCGGAGCCGGCGGGTCCGCGGGCGGGGCGGGGCGGGGCG